AAAACCTGCCGTACAGAGAGGAAGCACTAGCCAACCTGAGCCCCGGCTGGTGCTTACCTGTAGAAGGGAACTGTGACTTCCATGAAGAATCCTGCGGATGTCTGAGGGCACCAGCCAGGGACTCACCACCGTCTCTTCTCTCTCGTCCTCTGCACACACCTGCTCGGTGTGAGGGCCAAGCCCAGCACTCCCGTGCTGTTCTGAATGCTGTAGACAGGGAGCAGTTGAGCCTAACAAGGGAAAGAACAAGGCATACGTTGGGACTAGTTCATTTACTGTGATGTTTATCATCAAATCCACGGCAGTCACATTTTACCTACTATTTGAACCACAGTGTTTGGTTATAGTTCGCTTTAGAGTTCTAACAATTCCTGTCCCGCAGGAGAAGGAACTTGAATTCTGGCCACTTGTTTCGATTTTAAAAGTAACAGTAACCTCTATGACGAGAGAGTAGGAGAAGGGGCCACAGAACAGAGCTGTGGAGGAGTTGCCTCCACAGGGAGGGCTTGTGGAGACTTCCTAGGAGTGATGTTAGGCAGCATGCCTACAGTCTGCCTTCGGCACAGGCGTCGGGGTAAGTGCAGTGACCACAGGGTGGCCCTCTGCCTCCCTACTGAACGTAAGTACTTTGTAGAACAGAAACTCCCCCAGCCAGTGCCAGAGGCCGGGGAGCAAATCCATCCACCCACAGAGCTCTCTGCACGAGGCCTGGCGGAGCTCGCCCCAACACACTTACCTTCCACAGCCCCTCGCCAAGATGACCTAAGGAACACCCATGACGTGGGACCTGTTTACTTCCCGTCATACCTGACAAGCAGGCACGTGACTTCCCAAAGAGAAGAGGAGGAGGTAACAGTGAAGTTTGGCCTTTTACAGCTTTACCAACCGCATACACTTAAAGGTAAGGATACCTCCAAAATATAAGACCCCATTTTGGATTTACTATGGGCTAAATGCTTTACCTACACTCAGTCCCTTGAACTTATGTGTGTTTCCCTGGTCCTGTCTACCAGGTTTTTATAGAACTGTGAAGAGTAACATGGGGTGAGGATGGGCTAGAGCAGCGGTCGACAACTAGTGGTCCGTGAGGTCTGGACGGTTGGCGACTGCTGGTTTCAGGAAACCTTTGGAGCAGCAGTCTCCAACCGGTGGTCCATGGACCAATGGTGGTCCATGAGGTCTGAAAGGTTGGCAACCGCTGGGCTAGAGGGAGACAATAGGAATCCTATATAATAAAAGCCTAATATGCTAAGTGTCTGGTCGTCCATTCAACCAATTGAGTAACATGCTAAGGCCACTCACTGCTTGCTATGACGTGCACTGACCACCAGGGGGCAGATGCTCCGACCAGTAGGTGAGCTTGCTGCTGGGGTCCGGCCAATCAGGATGGGCCGGAACCCTCCCACAGTCCCTCCCCAGCTGGCTAACCTCCTGTGTCCCTCTCCAGCCCTGATGGTGCACTGGTGGGGTCCCTCAGCCTGGCCTGCGCTCTCTCGCAATCCGGGACCCCTCGGGGGATGTTGGAGAGCTGGTTTCAGCCTGATCCTGCACTGCTGCATGAATTCATGCACTGGGCCTCTAGTTAAGATCATAATTTCCCTCTCTCATTGACCAGAGCACAGCTAACTTGAGCAAGTATCCAAAGATGGAGCAGAATCGGGCCTGCGTTCCATGACTGTGTGACCCTAGCACCTTGCTGAGCACTGTGGTGAGCCCCTCACATACGCTCACACTGTTATAATCCACATTTTGCAGGTGAGAAAATGGAAGTTCACACAAATGTCCTGGAACTGCCCCGGGCTAAAGAGTAAGTGATGACCTAGGATTCCAAGCTAACTCCACAGCCTCTTCTCATTCTGAGCCCCACTTTTCATTCTGGAACCTATATTTGAAATTTCTAAGAGTGATTTACGGCTTTTAAAGGTTTAATATTGCCAAAACCGGTTTGGCTCAGTGGATAGAGCGTTGGCTTGCGGACTGAGAGGTCCCGGGTTCGATTCCGGTCAGGGGCATGTGCCTGGGTTGCGGGCACGTCCCCGGTGGGAGATGTGCAGGAGGCAGCTGATCGATGCTTCTCTCTCATCGATGTTTCTAACTCTCTATCGCTCTCCCTTCCTCTCTGTAAAAAATCAATAAAATATATTTTAAAAAAAAAAGGTTTAATATTAACTTCAAGAACCTCTTACCTTTTCGGAAGGTGACTGGAGAGTGCACAGCCTTTCTCCGTGCCCCTCTGGCTCCACAAGCTTTTTTCTGGGTAAAAGTGATAGTTCCTGCAAAGACAGGCAAGCATCTTCACCCTGGCATATGTGCGTGATTGTTCACGTATCCTACTGTAAGACCTTCGAGGGCAGAAGCCTCTGAGGGTGGATTTTATTCAAAACCAAGAAAGCAGAACAAAAGTGCAGATGAAGGAAGGCAGACTCCGCATCGTGCTTTCCAAAGGCACCTGTCCTGGGACATCTCGCGCCCTGAGCTCAGGCACTAAGTCCACGAGCTGTGAACACCCACCGATGCCACGGTAAACTGTATCGAGAGAATGACTGACTATGGTTCTTAAATTCCAGAATTAACAGCAACTATTCAATGTTTGTAATGCAAAATGTTTTACTTATGATCCTCAATAACTCTATGAGGTCTGTTTTAAATAACATCTGAGGGCACCAAGTAAGCTATACACATTTATACTATCTGTTAGCTCTAAGTATGCTTTACTTTAGTAATCAAAACTCAACCAGGGCAAAAACTAAAGAAAGGCTAGCAATAAATAACATCTTTAAATGTGGGAAAGGATGTTCAAAGGGTAAAAACAGAGCTGCTTAATATTCCTCTTCTGTTTTATATCCATCCTGAAGTCTACCAGAATGGTTTTTTATCAATTACAGTTGACATTCAACATTATTTTATATCAGTTTCAGATCATTTGTATAATTTATGAAGTGATCCCCCACAATAGGCCTAATACCCACCTGGCACCATACACAGTTATTACAATACTATTGACTGTAGTCCCTAGGCTGTACTTTACATCCCTGCAGAACTTGATTTGGAAAAATCAAGTTCTTTAACCAAACACAAAAGAAACAGAGTTCCAAGTCAATCATATCTAATTTACTGACTATTCAAATGCTATAACAAAAAGGTCATTTGTTTTAAAAGATTCCTAGGGTTTTCTTATTTCCCAGTACAATGTCTTGCATTCTGCTGAAATGAGAATTGCTTTTCACTAAGACTTACAGCTGTTACTAATGAAAATGTAACTCTGGAGACAAGAAGGAATAGGCCCAAATTATACAAGATAAAAAAGCTTTGTCTTACCATGTGGCCAAGGTGAGCCCTGAGGTTGCCCAAAAGATTTCCCTTTTGGGATATAACTTGGTTTGGGTATATTTCTGACTTTTCCAGGTCGATTTACTGGAAAGTTGTGACCATATCGGGTCTCTCTAAAGTAGAAATTACATTATTATTATTAATATATTCCTAGAATATCGTATCAGTGATAAAACTGTATTTCAAAAAGCCCAGATTCTGCCTCAGATGAATACACTCATTTATTCTGTACCTCAGTGACATATTTAGTATGTAATAACTCTCAACAAGTTATTCTTCATATCTCAAACTTCATGTGTATTTTTCAAATAAACTATTTTTGTTCTCCATCTATTTCAAATTATATATGTACTGCCCTGGCGAATCAGCTGGTTAGAGCCTCATCCTGTACACCAAAAGGTAGCAGGTTCAATGCCCAGTCAGGGGGTGTGAAGGATACAACTGATCGATGTTTCTCTCTCTCCCCCTCAAATCAATTTTAAAAATTCTCTAGTTATTGTGTATTTAAGACCCTACTTTATTCTAGAAAAGATTCAAAGGGCATTTGGGCCCAGCCATCGTGGCTCAGTGGTTGAACCAGGAGGTCACAGTTGAATTTCCGGTCTCCATTCCGTACAGAAGGCAACCGATCAGTGATTCTCTCTCATCATTGATGTTTTTCTCTCCCTTCCTCTATGAAATCAATAAAAATATATTTCAAAAAAGCAACACAAAAGTAAACAAAGGGCATCTGGTATTTTGAGTACACCCTAGTGACTAGACTGCATCTAGGTTTGTGTTAGGTACATCTTCTCTAGCCTCTTAAGTTACGTCATTATAATCTTTATTTTGTCAAAAGTAGTCATATTTAACAACATTGTATTGCCAATTGTTGTTCATCATATAAATCACCAACAAGTATAGTTTTGTGTTTGCCATGTGTAAGAACCTACACTTGAGTGCTTTGTTTTAGCTCTAGCATTCCCTGTTTAATTCCTGCCTAACGAACTCATGTTCAAACCTACTGCAGGTCATTAACTTAGGAAGAATTATGTAACAGTATCTACAAGTGACTCAGCAACCCCGGGACAGGCAGGAGGAGGTGGCAAAGGGAGGAGTGGCAGCCGGTGGAACTGTTTCTGCAAGAGTGGAGCCTATGGAGAGCAATTAGGACGCAAGTTACAGGAGGAAATATTAACAAAAATGACAGGGAAGAAGAAGGGATTGAACGGACATCAAAATTGCATTAGGTAAGGTGTCTTGGAGATTTAATGCCACTGTCTTCTTCCTTGGTAATTGTATGCACTTACAAAGAAATCATAATTAGGGGCCATTTTTCTCTTCATTTTATCATAATTCTGAGCAGGGTAGATGCAAATACAGTGAACCTGGGTCACAAAAGCACTTCATTTCTTAGCACGCCTGACATTGTATTGCCAAATGACATAAACCTTATCTTACCTTCTTGGCGAAAGGGAGCTTTGCAGCCTGCAAGTGTGAGCAGTCCTGGGCTTGCCGGGCGATGGCGTCTGTGCTGGTACCTGTACTGATTCAGACAGCAGTTCATTCATCAGACTGTACGCTTGTGAAATTCGACGACTGTAGTGGTCACAGAGTAGCAATCTTTAGAGAAAGAATTAAACAACATTTAATAAGTCACTTTCAGTTCATATTTCTAGAAGGAACACACTGTTTGAAGACCACTTAGCATGTGTTTTTTTCAATGCTTTTCAAATGCACTTCAAATATAATACTCAAGTTCATATGTCTGAAGACCATTACGCAGTCTTAAAGGTGCCTTATAGCCGTGGCCTTTGAGGTCGTTTCAAAATGCATCCACATTACCTGAATTGGGCGAGGGGAATCCAGAAATAAAACTCATAAAAATTGAATGGAGGAAATATTTGAAAACAAATTCCTAACTTGGCTAGTGGAGTCTAATTATTTTCCTTGCAGCACATCCAATAGTTGACAAAAAAGGGACCACTGTGGAAACCGGAATTCCTTAGGCTTTTTTTTTTTTTTTTTTAGGGGAGAGCGCGAACACAGCCCCCCACTGCCATGGATTATGCAGTCGAATTTCCCAATTTGGGGAAATCGCAGGGGTCAGCACATCTGGAGCGCAGTGGACAAGCCTCGCCCCGGGAAAACCACCTTCGTGATCTTGGTCTCTCCCCCACCAGGTCAGTATCCACAGGCATTTTCTATGCCTCAGGTGAGCAAGCCAGAGAGGGGACTACCACTCACCTGTCTTTTTCATGCTTCATCTTTTGACTCAGCCTGATTTCCCTTGAAGTCATGTAAAACTGTAGAAGAAATAATCCAGTTAGCTCATTATTGTACAGTACAAACAATTAAACCATTATGATTCATGGAAAACATGAAAACTCCACTAATCAATTTTAACAGGAGGTTAAAACATAATTTTATCATTTAGGAAATAGTGCAAAATACTGTCAAATTTCATGAAGCTTCTGACCTCAGCACAAAACATGAAAATGTTAAAGCATCATGTAATTACATAAAATCCAATTTAATGAGTGGAATGCAAAATCTATTTTAGTAGCTAAATTAATATGTTTTCTAGAAAAGAAATCCTTATCAGCTGCATTTAAAAGGGAAAATAAAAACCTATTAAGGATGGAGATACCTCTACTTCATACTCAATCTGGTGATTAATCTCACCAACAGCTTGGTTGATAAAGCAGAAATGAACCAAACTTATGAAACCTTCATTTTGATGTTTCAAAATGGTCACCAGAAACTTATTGCAGTGAATTCATTGTGACTGTAAACTCTCCAAAACTTAGGCACCAAGATGAAAAGGGACAGACCCAAAGACTGAGAAACAGCGATCAGGCTATCAATCCCCAGAAGGGAAGTAGGGGAGGGCGGGGGTAAAGGGAAGAGATCAACCGAAGGACTTGTATACATGTATATAAGCCAAACCAATGGACATGGACAACAGGGGGATGGGAGCATGAGTGTGTGTGTGTGTGGGGGGGGAGGTTGAGGGTTAAAGGGGGAACTGAGGACACATTTGTAATACCTTAATAATAATAATAATAATAATAATAAATGGGAAAAAAAAGAGGCAAACTAGCAAACGTCGCTATATACATCTTAATGTTCGGTAGTAAGAGTTATGTTGAGTTGCTGATGAGGTTAAGTCTTTTCATACAAATTTTATGTATAAAAAGGTGCGCACAGAAGTGAATTCACTTTCTCAAGATCCTATATAATAGTAACAAATTATGATGTTTTTAATTACATTAACTCCTCACTATTCCCATACCTTTATCCAAATAAAAGATACGAATAAATGAGGTCCGAGATCTTGAAGGACACATCACAAAGTTTATAAACCAGAGTCTATTTATTCTTAATTTGGAGACAACTCTGACCCTCTTGGGTATTTGTTTGGCTGGCGGGGAGGGTGATATCAGACCCCCCGACCCCTGACCCACTGGGTGGAGAAAACACACACATATCCACATGCACTTTAAGATTCTGGTTATGTACCTCAGCAGCCCTGAAGGTCATCCCCATGTTCTCAGAGCTACTGACAAAATGTTACATTGGCATCAGCATGCTCTCTGCAGACACAGGTAAGTAAACTACCTTTACGCTGTGAAGTAAACACTTTAAATACTAGTTCACCTACTTCTGCAGCATTTGGTGCTTAAATGTGACGCTCTTATCTGGAAAATTCACTTATGGAATGATGCTAAAAAGAATGAAGTACTTATTTTATTTCATGTTGGAAAGTAAAAGATGAACTGTAATCGAGATGAACCTGACTGGGATGTTCCCAGCACGGGGATGACTGCGAGAAGGCTGCCGCGTCACCTTCAGAAGCCCCTCCGACCCAGCCAGGAAAGGCCACAGCAGAGCTCAGTGAGCAGAGGGGCAGTCTGAGGGGCAGGGGGCACACTGTGCCCTTGTTCTGTTGATACATGACTGGACCATACTTTTTAAAGTGTTCTGTACAGAAGGTACGGGTAGAAACAGATTTTAAATGGCTCCCCCACACACACATGTATTCAGCTGCAACAGACTCTGTGAAAATAGGGGAACTACTCCGACCGTCACAGGAGTAGTTCCAGCTCCTCAAGCTCCTCATGTGTGTAAAATGGCAGAGCCATGGTTGGTCTGCAGGAGAAAAAGTACAGTGGGGCCTTGACTTACGAGTGTCCCGACTAATGAGTTTTTTGAGATACCAGCTGTCTCTCCGCCGATTTTTTGCATTGAGTTGACAGAATAATTTGACTTAACGAGCTCCTTAACGAGCTTGGTCTTGGAACGAATTAAACTTGTAAGTCAAGGCCCCACTGTACTTAATTCAATGGAACATAGGTTGTGCAATACTCTGCTACCTTTTGTTAAGGTAATTTCCTAACTTAAGTAAAATGCTGACTTTTCTGTCAAATTAAAAATGCATTTAAATTTTGTTCATCCTTTTCTTAAATTTAGCCAGAAAACACCACAGGCATCCTGTGATGTCCCCTTGTCCCTGACCCTGCAGACCCACCGCGTTGCTCCTGGGGCAGAAGGGGTCGTGCTCTTGCCCCCTCCTCTCCGCCAGCTCGTGTAGGTACTCCGCCATCCTCTCTCTCCGCTTTCTTCTCATCCAGACTTGAATCTCTCTTCTCTCCTTGGCAGATCTTCCAGGTCGGCTACCGGAAGATCGCTGAATCCTGAGGAATGTAACGGGCGGAGTATTGCTTGACTCTAAATGTGTGATGGACATAAGCAGTACCACAACTACATACTGTTTATTTGTTAAGATTCTGTCCCATCTCAAAAAGTAGTATACAATTATAACCCCTGGTCAACTTGCTCCAACCTGTCCCCTGAAATCCCTGGAAATGAGCTTGGGAAGGTCACCAGTGGCCTCTCCAGTCTTCATCCCACTGGACTTCTCTTTAACAGTTGATACAGTCTGGCTTTTTCTTTCTGCTTTGAACTCTCTCTTCCCTGATCCTTTCTAACTCAGAGTCTATGCAGCACCTTACACTGGCCCCTTCTTCTGTGCTCACCACTCGATACTAATGTCTTCCAAGGGGCTGCTTTGGACTTCTTAGTCTGTAATCTGTTTCTGGATTATCTCAATCATTTCCAAAACCTTCCTACAGGCATAACTTCTACACGGCTGCCCGCTGGATCCAGCCTCCCGAGGGCGACCTCTCTTCCTTCCCTCCAAGCCAAGGAGGGGCCGCACTGTACTGTGCTCCGCTGCCTCTCCAACTTCCGGTTTCCCCTCACATGCATTTCTCCCAGTAAACCTCGTGGACAGCTAGTCCCACGAGGCGTCTGCTTCTCAGAGGATAAGAGCTGACTCGAGTAGGACTGAGAGTCCAAGAAAGCAAACGCGACACCCAGGGTGCACAGAGGGCACCACCCTAGGAAGGTGGGTCACGGATATAAACGATGTGTTTCACATGAATGCATGCTGTTCTCCTGGGAGTCTGGGCTCGGTATGCACATTTCCTTAGCAAGACAGAAAATGAATGCAGTTCTAGGTGTAAGGTGCCAGGAAAACATTCAGTTGGTAATGTTCATCGGTACTTAGTTTTAGGTCCTCCCAGAGGCAGATGCCAAAATGTTTATGGTTCAAGAATATTCAAAATTAGCCATATTTCATTGAAATGTCTTCAAAGCTTAAAATAGATTTTTTTCTTTATCACGAAACATTTTCTGATGTTTACGTATCACTCCTCCCCTTTCTAGTAAAACCTGTGGGCACTGGGTCTCTGGACAGGCCTCCCCGGGACACAGCAGTTCATACATGTTGTCCTGTGTGTGGGAGCCTGTGCCTGGTTTCCCCTGGAATTTCTCCATGTACCTATCCCCTTTGCTGATTTCGCTTAGTATCCTTTTGCTGCAGTGAGTATAGCTGTGCGCGTGCCTGGTTGAATTCCGAGTCCTCCCGGTGGGTCACTGAACCTGGGCTGATCCTGGGGACCCTTTCAGCGGGTCGGAGCCGCACCTGCACTGAAGTCTGACCACTCTCTCCACCTCCCATAGTCCCTCACAGGGGTTCCTCCAAATAAATCTATCATCTAAATCTCATTTTGGCATCTGCTTCTGGGAGGACCTAAAACCAAGTACCAATGAACATTACCAACTGAATGTTCTCCTGGCACCTTCTACCCAACACCACAGAAATCATCACAACTCTGTCATCCAATAGAGTCATTCTCACTTCCTCCTGACAGTCGCCAGGTTTACTGGCGCTTGGGGCCCTGCACCTCCCATCTGAGCCATCTCGCTACTAAGACCTCTGATTGGCTCCCATTTCTGGTTTAAAGCCCTTTGCTGACCGCCCCCTACTGCTTGCAGATGGGCTAACGAGGAGAAATAGGATGAAATGTGTGCTGTCCTCGGTGCTGAGGGTTTGGGAAAATGCACAGACGCAGATGTACCCTGGAAGTGAAAGTAACCAGTCTGTGTTCGGGGGAGGGGAGGAGCGAAACAAACATCACAAAATGTGTTCGTGATAAAGAAAAAGACCTATTTAAGCTCTGAATTTGTTTCAGTAAGATGTGGCTAATTTTGGATATTCTTGAACCATAAACATTTTAAATGGCTAGAAATTAATTACTAACCAAAGTATTCAGGGTTACCTGGAGATGCCCCTGGCTTGTCGTCCTGTTAAGCCCAGCTCTCCGCTGGAGACTCCGTCTTTGGCGATAAGGTCATCAATGATGTCTGCGATGTCGGTCAGCCCAGTCATCTGGAGTGGCTCTGCTGAAACGCTTCATTTGCAAATGCAATTTGAGAGAAGTAGGTCAGTATCTACCACTCACTACAGCAATAAGAACATGGAAAACTATGCCCTCCGAGAGCCCAAATGAACACAAAAATGATAAACATAAATACTGTTCCTTGTAGTCTTTAATCCAGTAATCCTCAGTGGAAAAAAAAAATCATCAATAATTGACCAATATGTGCTCTTACAAAAGCAACATGAGGCCCAGGAGACAAGTTCTCCCTGTCCTGCCAGAAGAAACTTAATACATATACGATCGAAGAAAATGTAGCCAATGCAGCTTATGGTATCCTTACTGCCTGTGCTAACACAGAGAGGGGTGGGACAGTCCTCCGATTTTTTAAAACATCTCATTCCCAACGGGAATTATGTTCCTCTAATCCACAAAAAAAAAAATGTAGTATAGACGTTCACATACATATGAACAACGCAATTGCCAGAAAGTATATACCCAATTTTAAGTAAAATTGTAGATTAATTCTTAAGATATTTACCTCTCAAATAACTCATCATGGTTATTCACACCTTAAAAAAAAAAAGACATTTTTTCAAAAAATTTTCAGGTCAGTTAATTTTCTACTTTCAATTATTAACCTGACTTAGGAATTATATAAACAGAAATTAAAATATTTTTAAACCTCCAAATTGGTTTAAAGCAGAGGTTCTCAACCTGTGGGTCGCGACCCCTTTGGGGGTCGAACGACCCTTTCACAGGGGTCACCTAAATACATCCTGCATATCAGATATTTATATTACGATTCACAACAGTAGCAAAATCACAGTTATGAAGTAGCAACGAAAATAATTTTATGGTTGGGGGTCACCACAACATGAGGAACTGTATTAAAGGGTCGTGGCATTAGGAAGGTTGAGAACCACTGGTTTAAAGGTATATGTGTGTAGTGTATTTATCCTCCTCTTGAATACACTATTCGGTAGGAAATGTCCACATTTTTAGATTACTACTTCCGTGCCCAGAATACTGTGAATAATACACTTTAGGAAGTACAATCTTTCTTTGCTTAGTACAGTTTAGAATACTGAAGTGCAATTCATTTAAAACAATCTCAAAACACAAACCTGTATGGTCTAAAAGTAATACATTTGGGAAAATATCTAATTTAAATCCAAGAAGCCTTTACCAAGAGAAAAAAAATTACAAGATTTAATGACAGCTGGTCTATAGCCTTTCTTTTATTTAAATGACAGCAATGCCATTTAAAAATAGCAATTTTTGCTGCTTACATTATTTTAACAATGGTAATAAAATATTGTAAACATTCAGTAAAATCATTGACCATCGATATCTAGGTTTAATAAAAAAAAACAGTTCAAATCATTGTACTTAGTAGGACCTTTCATTCCTGTGCTAGAGGGATCTGTTAGGACTAAAGAAGATCATTTCATCCAGCTGCAAATGAAACAGAACGAAGGGGGCACTAACGTTTTCTAAGTCTCAATACCCTTAGCTGTGAAGTGCGGACATTGACGTTACCGGCCTCGCAGTCAGGTGGCCCGGCGATGCCATGGCACACGGCTGGGGCGCGATAAGTCACAGCCACTGTGTTGTTTACAAATTAAAATGCAAGTTTGCGCCCTGTACGGTTTGGCTTTGTGGATAGAGTGTCGGCCTGTGGACTGAAAGGTCAAGGGCATGTACCTTGGTTGCAAGCACATCCCAAGTAGAAGGTGTGCAGGAGGCAGCTGATCGATGTTTCTCTCTCATCGATGTTTCTAACTCTCTAGCCCTCTCCCTTCCTCTCTGTAAAAAAAATCAATAAAATATATATTTTTAAAAATGCAGGTTCGCATAATTGGCAGTGTTTGAATTTCTCAATTTTTTAAAAAATCAAATATTTTAGTAATTCCAGTTGTAGATTTCACACTAATAAGCCACACAGAGATCTAATGCTTCCTTGCAGTGTATCTGATGAAGGTAGTAAGACAGAATTCATGTGAATGGTGCAATTTTTTAACTTCCCTTCACCCAAAATTTTTAAGTATTGTAAAATGGCTTCACAAATTCTTCCTAACTTTATTCCCAGTAAATACTACTCAGTAACAATAATATATTGTTACATCCTTCAGTATATTGGAAAATAAGAGTGTAAATTAATGAAGTGGAGAACAATACCAGGAAAACTCCCATTCTGGTCACTGGAGAGGCTGAGGGCTGAATCGGCAGAAGGAAACACACACGTTTTCGGATGAGAATGCGTTTCTGTTACTGAAAATTCATCTTCAAAAGTCTGTTCTTTGTCACTTTGATCTTCCTCATTCATATGAGTCAGGAAATGCACTAATCCAGAGTCTATATTACAATTAAAATAGTAGAGGGAAAAATCACATGTAAAAGACAACGCGTAGCAGACACTTCCACATGGCAACAGATACATCAGAAGTTTGCAACATATTCTGATGGCTTTTTACTGTTTAATGAAATGGTATGGTATTTAAAATTTATACTCTCCAATAGCAAAAAAAAAAAAAATCTGTTAAATTTCTTATCAACTTCAGAAAACAGCAGACTGAGCTAAAGTGGACAGGTGCCTGCCCACCATAAAAACACAAAAGAAATGCTAACTTTAAAAAATGGATTAATATACAACAAAACCCTGTAAATAAATAATCCCCTGGTGCCAGAAAAGGAATGGAATTCTAAGCTGGGAGTAACTGGACAGCGACACTGGCGGAGCCCACAGAGGCCCTGGGGAGGCTCTGCAGGCTGCGGCGGGGAGGGGGACCAGGCCGCGTAGTGCAGCCTGGAGCAGAAGGACAGCAGCTCTGTCCTCAAGGTGGGTGTGGGGAAGCCTGCCCCGGACAAGCAGCCAAGACGTTTCTGCCGCCGGGAGAGTAGACGGAAGGAAAATGAAAGTCAGCTCTGAGAAAGCAAACCCATCTTGCCACAAACAGGCGTGGGGTCTGAATTTACACCATCAATGTAGCACAGCAACTCCAAGCCAAGAAGTGTTCACAGAAATCCGTCCTAAAATTTTCTACTTCAGTGACAGCAAATGCAAACCACTCCCAGACAAGCGTGCACACTCAGCAGAACCCCCCAAAGATGAGACATTACAAGTCGCACAGAGAAAGACACAGCCATGGAAGAGCCATTTGCAGACTCCATGACGGAGAACATGCCCGCAGGAAAGGAAGCAATCTGAAAGGGCATATACACTACTAGTCAGGAAACAAAAGACACAGAAACCACATTGAAAGAAGAGACCAGTATATCCAAAGAGCAAATAGATTTGAAAAAGAAACAGAACTTCTAGACATAACAACGTAGGCACCAAAATTAAGCTCCTACAGCAAAGATGCCATGGCAGAAGAGAGAACCTTGGGCTAAAAGGTGGGTCGGAGGACACCAAGCACATCGCCGAGAGAGAAACGTTGGCAACTGAGAAGTGGCTAAGAGGGAACAGAATGAGAAGGTCCGACGTACCATAGAGAATAAAAAAAAAAGAAGAAGAAATATGCACTTAGAAACAGTATCAAAAATGCCAGAAGAGGGGACAGCATTGGTTTCTCAGAGAAAAGGGGCTGCTGTGGGAGCCAATCACATTTCCACACCAGTGACCCCAATCTAGGAACTGGGGCTGACAGCTTCAGCTCAGTGGAAACCATCCGTATCTGACGGTCCCCAAGGCAATGCTTATTCTTTCAAAGCAAGGCTCTGGGCACCCCCCACCCAGCCAGCTCCCCACAAACCTTCTTTGGAGATGGTAATGGCTTTTGAAGCCAGTGTTTTTTCAGATTCAGGGCCAGACGACAATTCAATGTCATCCACAGATTCAACCTGTAGAAAAACCACACCACAAAATAGCTGTTATAAATGTTACAGTGCACTAATTTCAAACCATTGTAAATAATTTTATGTAGGTTTCAAGCATTTGCATTAATGCAACAAATGAAAGAAATGGTAAGTTTTACTTATTTGTGGTGTAACTGATTTAACTTTCTAAGAGGCTTGGGAAAACAGCATCATGTCAGTCATATAATTTAGACTAGGGAGCAATGTCAACTACCATCCAGACAAAACCTTTTATTCTACAGATGAGAGACCAAGGCCCAGAGACATTCAGTGACGTTCTCAGAGGCAGACATGGACTTGAACCAGGTCTTTAAGGCTCCCGGTCAGTGCTGGGCCACAGTAGCCTCCGCCTCCTCCAGGCCTACAAGCTGCTTTCTTCCCTAAAAGGGGCAAGCCAGCAGCTCTGCATTTGTATGTGCTTTCTAACAGGAAGAGAACATCTTCAGCCAAAATGCCAAACCTGCCATTTAAGTCAATACTATTTCCTTCAAGGCACTTAGCATCATTGCCTAATAATACACTGTCTTACCTCATATATTTTTAGTGTAGTTTCTCATATGTTTAATCCTAACTTTTTAATGTGTGTTCAATAGCTGGATTGAAGAAATACTGTAAGCCTGCTAAGTACATCTTTAACCTGTCAGCATGCTGGCGGCCTGGAGTACTTGTTGGTAGTCAGGGATGGAATTCTTATCCTGCAGACCAATCTGCATTTCCCAATATAAGGCTCTAACACATTCCAAATATCTTCACTATTTACTCTTTTATCTTTATTTTACATAAATCTTACTTCCTAAAAAAGGACAGGATATTTGTGCAAAATAATTAAATGTTGGAGACTTCCTTTGTAGTTGTCTATCATGATATGCCCATATACATAAACACGAATCTTTTTATTATGAATACTTTTTAAAGAAATAGAAAACTTGTAAGGACTACTAATCCATTGTATAAAATATTTAAAAGAAACTGAGAATTCCAAATAGAAGGACAGCACTTATAAAGTTATAAAAATCTTGAAGAAAATGATAATTAGGAGCAGGGTTTGTTTCAAAGCACATTCTGGTTTTATAATTCATATATATTTTTTCCTGGGAGAAGTTTAAGTTCCCTCCTTAAAAGCTTAAGGCAGTGGTTCTCAACTGGAGGCAGCTGACAGCAAGTGCGGAGACCAGGGATGCTACCAGCAAGCCTCTGATGGGGGCAGCCTCCCCAACACACACCGTTATCTGGCCACTCTTCTGAAAAAGCAAGTTTATAAAATTACATTACATTACAAATCTGGTAACGTGGTAATAAACAAAATAACTAAATGAAGACCGCCTACCTCCTTGCAGTGCCGGCCCCCCACCGGGCCCACCGTCCGGTGCTCGTGCTCGGGGAAGTCCTGCTCGATGCGGTCGGCGATGCTCTGTATCGCCTGCAGCTGCGCGTCAATTTTCCGGAGCTGAGAGCTGAGGCGCTGCAGCCGGGGATGCGGGTGCGGGCTGGGCGCGGGGCCAGGAGCGGAGGCGCCCTGCAGCAGCTCCCGCAGCAGGTAATCCCGCAGCCCGCCCCCTTCTGCAGCATCCAGCTGCGAGCTCTCTTCTTTGAACTGGAAAGCTGGCTTCGACACGTCTGAATATTAACAAGGGTAATAAGAGAGCTGGTTACAATTCAGGGAGAGGTAGATGCTGATGATCTGGCCTTTTGGAAGATCTCAAGTTAAGTGAACATACATCCCATTCCAAATCAGGTTTAATTACAGACTGAGAAATGCCCCTTGTCTCTGTTGTGAGATAAGAATGTGATGTGAAAGTGTTGCTGTGACCACAAACTTCTACATACAAGGCAGTTTGAATGTTACTTTAATATATATTTTTTTATTGATTTCAGAGAGGAAGGGAGAGGGCATGTGCCCTAACCAGGGATCGAACCGTGACCTCCCCGTTCCTAGGTCGATGCTCAACCAGTGAACAACACCAGCCAGGCTTGCATGTTACTTATATTCTCTGCTACAAAAATATAATAAAAAAAGCAACTTTTCAACTCTCCTTGAAAACCAACAATATCACACAGTAAAAGCTAGACCCAACGTTGGCCGTTCCTGACTCTGAGGGTACCTCCGGCAGTCAAGCTGCCCGACCTACCCAACTTGGAAGGCTTGTGAAGATCCAGCTATGGGGCAAAATGATCTGAAACCTGTGACTTACTAAACAAACGTAACTGGTGCTTACTGTCGTTCAGGCCCGTCTGGGGGACCTCCCACGGGGAGAGGAGGCACATCCCAGGGCTGGCGATACGGTGGTGACGGGTCTTTCCCCAGCAGCGTGGGCTGCACCTGTTACCCTCCTCAATGCTACACCACCCGCCCTTCCTGTTCCCCAGCAGCCGGAATGTCTCCCTTCTTCACTCTCGGGAAAGAATGTGGTGCATGAACTTCAAACAGAAAATACAGCAAAAAAGCCCGGCTGGAGTGGCTCGGATTGAGCGTCGGCCTATGAACCAGGAGGTTACGGTTCGATTCCCAGTCAGGGCACAGGCCCGGGTTGGGTGCTCGAACCCAGTGGGGGGCGAGCAGGAGGCAGCTGATCAATGATTCTCTCTCATCATTGATGTTTCTCTCTCACCTCCTCTCTGAAATCAATAAAAAGAAAATACAGCAAAAAAAAAAAAAAAAAAAAAAAAAAGGACATGCTCAAAGCGCTCATAGCCAACAGACCTCATGAAACAGCTTCCCTTTACCCGGAGAGCCTGCACACCCCAGTGACGTGGGCAAGTCACCCAGGAGGGGACCTGGGCGTCCCATGGCTGCAGGGCTCCCCGGCCCAGCCAGGCTGCTGCTGTTATCGCCGGTGTCCCTACAGGAGATGCAGCTGTTACTGGAAACAATGAGTAAGTTTCCACTAACACAGGGATTTGCAGTTTGTTTTCCATTTTAAATGCCTAGGGCCCCGCCACTCCCTTTGTCCAGCCTTTGCCTATAATGCAAATGCCAGGCAACTCTACCGTGTGACTGCCTACATTCTGTGTCTTTATAGTATGTTACGTAAATACCGTGATAACATGTAACTTTAAAATGTCTTCCTTTAAACAGGCATTTGTAAGTTCTTCCGGGTCCACTGACATCCTCGTGACCAGGCAGTCTCCCCGGCAGAGCATCCCCTCAAAGGCGGGCACGGGCTTGCTCCACTGGCAGGGGCCAGCCAGGTGTCGTTTGAAATGCTGCCCAAGACATTCAGTGGTCACAGGGCGACGGGTCTGGTTCCAGTTTTCAAAGTTCAGAATTCAATCGATAGGAAATGAGGGGCAACTCCGGGAGGCCCAGGGAGCCACAGGCGCTTGGCTGGATGCAGCTCTGACCCGCGAGGCACCCACAGACGCTCAGGGGGGCCAGATCTGGTGAATCTTGCCAGTCTCCCGGGCCGGGCCGTGGCCGGGCTGGGACTGAAGCCCAGGTCTGTTCTGCTGGATCTGAAATGCGCGCTTTCCTGCTCCAGCCTGAAGCCGGCAGCCTCCCCCGTCCTCCTCACACCCACACAGCTGGCAGCCCTGGCGGAGAGGCCAGAACCTTTGGGTGCGACGCTGGCGACGTGTAGTTGCAGCTGCAGACACCCGCCCTGCCACCGCCCCGCCCCACTCCTCACAGCCCCGAGGCCGTGCTGACACCAGGAGCAGGCAGTGCCGACTGCCTCCCCAGCACACCCCCCCCGCCCCCACCCGGCATCTGACAGCCCAGGAGGGGCCAGGCCTCCCACAGGTCGCTGCTGCAGGAGGTCGGGCGCATGTTTGCTCATCTGGTCCTTCACATGATGTAATGACTGGGTTTTGAAGAAATCATCTTCTTAATCTTGCAAGTATTGTACAATAATGCAACCTGCTTTATGACTATAAAACTCAATATTTTACTATGAGGTACTGTTGGCGACCAGGCCTGTGTATGCCTATGTGCTATTCTAGAATTTCCTACCTTTTTAAACATGAGAATTCCTTTTAATGCCAAAAATCTCATGAAACCCCACAGGATATTTTTTGCCAACCTCATTAATTGAGAAAAGACACCTGCAGCCTCCTTGCAAAATATCCACGGCCGAGAGCCGGACCCACATTTCCCCACCTGTGCCCATCTCCTGGGCAAGGGAGAGGTCGCCTTCTGGTTCGTTCTGCAATTGCCAGGGTTTAGTGCTGGTCTCCCCCAGGGCAGGGAGTGGAAGGGGCAGCTCCTGCTGTCGTCGGAGGCCCTCACCTCTGTCCTCTCTGACTGACGATGGAGGGGAGGGGACCCCCGGCTCCTCCGCTTGGGCAGCGCCTGCTCTCCAGCTTCCCCCCTCCACACAGGATGGCGACACCTCTGCAGGAGTGAGAGGGAAGTCCACCGCAGAACTGGCAGGTCCTATGAAGGAAGCAAAAGGCATAGAAGACTGATCCTACGCTTCTAAACAAGGAATTCGGAAGATTAACAGATCACTTCTGAGCTCGAATATAAACATCCAAGATGCAGTGGTTCCCAGGGGAGCCAGGGGACGTAAGCAGGGTGACAATGCTGTGGGAAAGTTACCTTGACTCTTCCCCCTGCGCAGGGGAGCAGCGCTGGTCACGGCCGCGGCCAGGTGATGTAACGCGGCAGAGGACGGGCCTTCGGCCTGCAGGAGCATGTCCTCATCGGAAGGCTCTCCGACAGGCGCTTCCTGCAGGTCGCCAGCTTCAATGTCAATCACATTCAGGTACGTGTGTCCAACCTGAGCCAAAGCGGAACATCCAAGGGGTTACGTTCCTTACTGTCTACGGCCACCCTGCCCGTCCTCTCACCCCCGCCCCTCCACCCTCCACCCATAAAAACGTCGCTTCCGAAGGCAAGAAGGGCTCCCAGGCGCCCACTTCCGGGAAAGCTGCAGGAAGAAGTGCTGTCCTCTCAGTGATAACATTTAGGGGCATAATATTTAACCTCACGCTTTTGACCTTTCCAGCAAAGCTTACCTTTCCAGGTAAGACTGGCAGCCTCATTTCATCTGTACAGTTGAATAATGAGGATGACCCTAGACCAGTGAGGCGAACCTTTTGAGCTCGGCGTGTCAGCATTTTGAAAAACCCTAACTTAACTCTGGTGCCGTGTCACATACAGAAATTTTTTGATATTTGCAACCATAGTAAAACAAAGACTTATATTTTTATATTTATTTTATATATTTAAATGCCATTTAACAAAGAAAAATCAACCAAAAAAATGAGTTTGCGTGTCACCTCTGACACGCGTGTCATAGGTTCGCCATCACTGCCCTATACTAAAGTTGTAGCAGAAAGCTATTATGGAAACTTCTGAACAAAACCCAAACCAAATTTCATACCGTGTCCGGTGCCGAAGGTGCCAGAGGCTTCTCTGCTCTTTCGGAGGGAAGCCTGAGGTTCAGAAACACATCTGGGGCCAACGGCCGAGGGACAGGCAAAGGTTCACGTTCTGAAAATTAAAAAAAGAAAATCAGGAGTATAAAACAATCTGTAATTAATCCCAAGCCGCTGGCTTTGTCAGAACAAGTTTTCAACAAACAACTTAACATGTTTTTGTTGAAAATCCAAGTAAAAGTTTCACAGGTATAATTTACTCTAGAGCAATTCTTAACGGAGATTGACGATTGCTTTTCTCATATGAATGATTCAAAGAATAATAAGTTATCTATGTCATGTCAAGAATATACTGTATTTTCTATTTTCCATTTCAGATCATATTAAGTCATGTTTGTTTAGGAGAATTTCGATAAAATCAGATTTTAGGAATTTAACCTATCACTAATTTCTTTTTTGCTTTCAACATTGTTTATCTGTTTATTTTAATAGCTTTATGAGGGGACCTAATTCACAGAGTCCATAGATAAATTTTACTACTTAAGACGTTTAACACCTAAATTTTATAAAACTCATTTAACTTCTTATTCAAAAGTAAAATAAAGAAACCTGTCACAATAGGTCAGCAGACAATCTAACTCAGTGTCTCTTGTCCTAGGACTCCAATCTTATTTCCCAGCATCTTTTTTTAATAGAACAGTACTTTCAAATTTCATATGCAAACCATAACTCATTGTCATATTGAGTACTGGAAGCTTGGTACCAGGGCTTGAATTTATACCTTATGACCACCATAAAGCTAGAAGACAGGAAGTGAAAATACTTAAATTACCATCTTCTCTATTAGATCCATGAATTGGTGTGAATGCTTTTTCATGGCGGGGTTGGGGGACGGGACTCCTGTTTTGACATCATGCAAATGTAATTTTTAATAGTCATGCTTTCTCAAAAAATGTTTTTAAAAAGGGAGAAATCACACCTGATGTGGAGGAGAAGGCTTGTTGATTTTTCCGACATTCAGAAACCACTTGGGAAGCAGCTTCTTTATCTTGTAGTCAATTAGGAGATTTGAGGCAGAAGGAGAAATAGAAAAAGAAAAAAGATTTCATAAACACAGGAAAAATTAAATACATAAATGCAGATTTTGAGACTATTGGGTATAAAAAATAGTAGAAAAGTAGACTGACAGCTTAAGTTTTTAAAAATTAATGATAACTTCGTATTTTATTATCGTTTATATCCTGGGCCTCATTACCTGGCAAATAGGCTGCAGACTTTAGACTACCCAGCAAAGAACACCCAAGCTCTATCTCATTTAAGAATGTCTTACAGATGACCAACAGACATATGAAAAGATGCTTAAGGTCATTAATCCTGAGAGATGCAAATTAAAACCACAAAAAGCTATCACATCAAGCCTGTCAGAATTGCTATCATCAATAAATTAACAAATATAGTGTGCTGGTGAGGATGTGGAGAAAAGGGAGCCCTCATGCACTGCTGGTGGGAATGCAGACTGGTGTAACCACTGTGGAAAACAGTATGAAGATTCCTCAAAAATTAAAAATGGAACTGCCTTAATGACCTAGCAATTCCACTTCTGGGGATATATTCAAGGAAACACGAACTACTAACTCAAAAGAATATATGCACCCCTATGCTCATTGCAGCAGTATTTACAATAGCCAAGATCTGGAAGCACATAAGTGCCCATCAGTAGGTAAGTGGATAAGAAAAACTGTGTAGTACATTTAAACAATGGCATATTATTTGGTCATAAAAAAAGAACAAAATTTTACCATTTGCAACAGCATGAATAGACCTAGAGGGTATTATGCTAAATGAATTAAGTCATTCAGAGAAAGACAAATACCATATAATTTCACTTATATGTGGAACCTAAAGGACAATATAAACAAGTAAGCAAAACAGAAACAGACCCATAGATGCAGAAAACAGCCTGGGTGTCAGAGCGAAGAGGGGTGGGGGACTGGGTGAAAAGTGAAAGGACTGAGAAGGACAGATTGGTAGTTACAAACTAGTCACGGGAGGTGAAGTCCCACAGAGGGAATCCAGTCAATAATACTGTGATCACTGTGTATGGGCCAGGTGGGCACTGGAAATGTCTAAACACTATGCTGTACACCTGAAACTAATGCAAAATATTGACTGTAAACAGTAATTGGGGGGAAAAAATTTTAAAGGAATATCTCAAATCCGCACTAAAAACATCTTACACATGCTCAATCTCATTCAGAAAGAAGCAAAAATGTAAAAAGAGAAATGCCTTTCTTTGACCTTTCAAACTGGTAAAGGTAAAAGAGCTAAATCACAGTAATGACCAAAAAAGGCTATTATGCAAAATAACTCATTGAAACCTTATTTTTGGAAGAAAAATACTAGAAACCAGTAATGTACTTGACATTAAGGAATTACATATTTATGGCACAAATGGAAAATGTCCCAGCCCATCCAATACAGCTACATGTCATTAAACAACCCTTAAAAACCTGAGTATCTATCCATCCAGCATTACTAAATAATACACAGCATGTTAAACCCCACTTAATTAACACTCATTTAACCCAGTAATTCATGTGCAATGCGCAATGCTACGGAACACAGCAGATACGAATCACCTTCAACACCGCAGCAAACATGTCCCATACTGTAAGTGAATAATGAAATAATAACATGTGAAGACACTAACTGGAGAGTCTGCCCCCAGGGACCGGGAAAAACAAACTCTTAGGGAGCAGAGCAATGCCCCCTGACGTGTGTGTGCCGACGGCCGGGGTGCACAGCTGTGCTATACATGTCTGACTGCGTAAAATGCACAAAAGACAATGGAAAGAAAAAAAAACACCAAAACATTACTTCCGAATGTGCCGTCATAGTTCATTTCATCTTCCTAGCAGCTTGCTCTATTAGCCATTCTATAATTATCATCAATTACTTGGAAACCATACCAATAAGTATTTCACAACAGTATAAAGTCAGAGGTTTGAAAAGGCCCCACGAGGTTCCATAGAGTTAAGAGAAAATGCTTCCCGAATGTCCTATAAAAGAATCACTCCAAGGCCAAGGGCAGAGAACTCACATTTACGAGGGAGTCTGTTGGGCAACACTGCAGGCACTATTCCTCCACCGCTGTTTCCCTCTCTGGGGGCAGAGCTGTATCGCCCTCCCCACAGCACAGACAACCTGGACCCCCAACTCACCTTTTCCAGCCACACCCCGGTCTCCCAACTCAGGCACGACTTGCCAAAGTTCAACATTCTGTCCATGGAGTTAGGGTGCAGCCCAAGGCATCTCTGAACAAATATCTCTAATATGCTTTAAGTTATCACAAATTCAATTGGAAATTTGATTTTAAGTTTCAAATGTGTAAAGCATGTGTCAGGGTTGGGGACAAGAACCTGGGATGGCTGACTAACACCACATAATTTAAAATTCCCAAAAAGTCTAAATATATTAAATGTTGCAAAATACAGGAATGTTTTAAGTTAAAGTAACGTAGCGTGTTACCTGGGTCTGTGTTTGTGCTTGCATCCTGACGTTCCACAGCTTCCTTTCTCACCGAGGCCAGGAAATGCAGCCCAGCGGAGGTAGTGACGTCATCGTGGAGCGTTTCTTAAATGTAACAACAAACATTGGAAACCACTGAGAGGAGACAACAGATTACAGGAGCCCAGAGGCGTAGGAGCTGACGCAAGGGAGGGGGGTCTGGGGTGTCGAGATGTTACCAAAGGGGACTTTCTGAATGAGGTGGCATCTGACCCAGAGGCCGCTCAGTGGCATCACAACCAAAATCGTGGGGACTGTGTGCCCGGCCTCGGCCGGAGGCGTTGTTCTGGCTGAGGAGCAGCATGACTGTTAAGCAGGGGAGTCATACGGTCAGACTGACGTTCGGGAAAAAGCACCCGGCCGGTGTGTGGAGCACGGACCTGAGTGGAAACACTGAAGAAAGGCACCTGGATGAGGCTGCTGCCGTGCAAGGGAAACAGTAATGGTGGGAACGGGCAGAGACGCCAGCTGAGGAATGACCAGGGTGGGAGATGGGCACGGCTGTGAGTGCCCAGGCGGGGAGGGGCAGGCCGGCCTCAGAAGGACCTGTGTTTGGGGTTCGTTGGTAGTAACACCAATAAAGAGAACAAGCCAGCTGGGGGGGTGGGGGGGACTGTAATGCTGTGCCCGAGGCAGTTCCCACGACACGGAAAGGTGCGGCCTGTTAGGGGTTTGGGTGTAGACTGGGTTTTCTGAACTCACCCAGGGATCTAGCAGAGTAAGAGTATCAGCTATGCTGTGTTGTAATAACAACTCGGTTCCCAGCACAGAGCTCCCCACACCCTCGGAACATCCCGAGTGCGGGGCGCCTTTCATCACTCACGAGCCCCCGGTCAGACCCGAGTCTACGCCAAGGCAGCGGCTCCAGCGGCCCCTGGAGAGCTCCAGGCCGGGACTGGCCAGAGGAACCAACCACAAGATCAGGGGGTTGGGACTTGGGCCCACCCCGCCCCACCCCAGGGAGATGGAGTCGAGCACCAATGGCCTGTGCCTATCAGTCAGGACTATGGAATGAAACACCAGCTACGGGCCTCTGGGGTGATGAGCGAAGGGATGTGCTGGGCAGGCGGTGCCCCAGAGAGGGGCTCCCTGAGGAGCAGCCTTGGGGATACACACATTCGGCTGCAAGAAGAAATGGACCAGCTGAAGAAAGAAAACCTTTTACTATCCATAAGCAAGTTCTCTTTTCTGAACCGAGGCCTTTACGTGAAAGTGCATGTGTTTTCCATGAAGCCCACTGGCCA